AGAGAGAGAGAGAGAGAGAGAGAGAGAGAGAGAGAGAGAGAGAGAGAGAGAGAGAGAGAGAGAGAGAGAGAGAGAGAGAGAGAGAGAGAGAGAGAGAGAGAGAGAGAGAGAGAGAGAGAGAGAGAGAGAGAGAGAGAGAGAGAGAGAGAGAGAGAGAGAGAGAGAGAGAGAGAGAGAGAGAGAGAGAGAGAGAGAGAGAGAGAGAGAGAGAGAGAGAGAGAGAGAGAGAGAGAGAGAGAGAGAGAGAGAGAGAGAGAGAGAGAGAGAGAGAGAGAGAGAGAGAGAGAGAGAGAGAGAGAGAGAGAGAGAGAGAGAGAGAGAGAGAGAGAGAGAGAGAGAGAGAGAGAGAGAGAGAGAGAGAGAGAGAGAGAGAGAGAGAGAGAGAGAGAGAGAGAGAGAGAGAGAGAGAGAGAGAGAGAGAGAGAGAGAGAGAGAGAGAGAGAGAGAGAGAGAGAGAGAGAGAGAGAGAGAGAGAGAGAGAGAGAGAGAGAGAGAGAGAGAGAGAGAGAGAGAGAGAGAGAGAGAGAGAGAGAGAGAGAGAGAGAGAGAGAGAGAGAGAGAGAGAGAGAGAGAGAGAGAGAGAGAGAGAGAGAGAGAGAGAGAGAGAGAGAGAGAGAGAGAGAGAGAGAGAGAGAGAGAGAGAGAGAGAGAGAGAGAGAGAGAGAGAGAGAGAGAGAGAGAGAGAGAGAGAGAGAGAGAGAGAGAGAGAGAGAGAGAGAGAGAGAGAGAGAGAGAGAGAGAGAGAGAGAGAGAGAGAGAGAGAGAGAGAGAGAGAGAGAGAGAGAGAGAGAGAGAGAGAGAGAGAGAGAGAGAGAGAGAGAGAGAGAGAGAGAGAGAGAGAGAGAGAGAGAGAGAGAGAGAGAGAGAGAGAGAGAGAGAGAGAGAGAGAGAGAGAGAGAGAGAGAGAGAGAGAGAGAGAGAGAGAGAGAGAGAGAGAGAGAGAGAGAGAGAGAGAGAGAGAGAGAGAGAGAGAGAGAGAGAGAGAGAGAGAGAGAGAGAGAGAGAGAGAGAGAGAGAGAGAGAGAGAGAGAGAGAGAGAGAGAGAGAGAGAGAGAGAGAGAGAGAGAGAGAGAGAGAGAGAGAGAGAGAGAGAGAGAGAGAGAGAGAGAGAGAGAGAGAGAGAGAGAGAGAGAGAGAGAGAGAGAGAGAGAGAGAGAGAGAGAGAGAGAGAGAGAGAGAGAGAGAGAGAGAGAGAGAGAGAGAGAGAGAGAGAGAGAGAGAGAGAGAGAGAGAGAGAGAGAGAGAGAGAGAGAGAGAGAGAGAGAGAGAGAGAGAGAGAGAGAGAGAGAGAGAGAGAGAGAGAGAGAGAGAGAGAGAGAGAGAGAGAGAGAGGAAGTTCATGACATAAAACTAAAATTATCACTGTTAACCCAAAAAAGGAAGTCAGGATTTGCAATGCATACAGAGGGAGTCACTGGTCCAATATCTCAGAATTCATACTTTTATTAGTAACCTTCCCACACCAACAACCCTTCTGAGCCTGTACTCTGGCTTGGAGGAATAAGACTGCCTGTGTCTAATCCAGCCCCTAGCACACTGACAGGACCAGGCAAAAGGAAACTCCAGGTTACCATCAGGAAGATGCCTATGGTGGCCTCACTGGATACAAGGTGTTAACCCGTTGCTTACATGTAGTGTCCGTTTTAGTTTGATTATGTGAATTTTGTTTACACAGAGATGGCTTGAGAAGTGTTCAATCACTAAGAAGTCTACATGACTTTAATTGATTTCCCCATCCCTTGAAATTTTGTAAAAAAAAAAATCTATTATTAATATCAATACTTTTATTGACATTATTACTATCATAATATAATTAAATACTAATAGTAATACAAAGTAAAAAAGAATCTCACCAAAAATCAACAAAAAGAAAAAACAGATCCGATAAGTAGAAGGACTAGTAACTGGTGATTTAGTTCTTGTGGATCCACCTATGTGTAAAAACAACTGATGAGACTGCCAGTGCCTCAGCATGTTCATCTGAGTGAACATGCATGCACACACCCTTCCCAACAGCACTGTGTTAACGACCTCTATTTACTGTCCAATCATAATTCATTATTCACGTATCTCTTTACTACTTTAAGATGCCTTACCTTCTTCCCTTGTCTTTGGCCCTTGAACCTCGCCATCCCCTTCCTCCCCTTCCAATAGGTTGTCGAGTTTGCCCTCCGAGCGCAGTTGGTCGTACTCTTCCTGCGTCAAGTCACCAGACCTTAAACTCACAACCTGCAAAAATGAGCGAATTAGCAAGAGGCTTTAGGTTGTAGTCCGGGGCATGGTAACATACTTGCCAAAGATGGAAAAAAAAATGTAGCTGAACAGGCACTTTTGGTCTTAGTTTTACCTTTTCTTTGGGCAATTTTTATCAGGTTTCTTGGTCAAGAGTGAAAGGAATCTTGATTAATTGTAACACACTTAGAAGCCCTGAAAGATGACAGTGTGATGGCTACCTTGATTTAACCCAGTCACAGCAGCAGCCCAATGTGTTAGGATGCATGCTGAGTCAGCTGCTTGAGGCAAAAATCAGAAGCAAAGGATGGACAAATTTACCCAGCTCTCTGTGCTCTTGGCTGTGGCATAAACAATTTTTTAAGGGAATGAGGCTAAATAGAGGCTGTAGGTCGAGGGGCTATTATCGAGGCTGAACCACTCATGACATAAAGACAGTCCCTGCATGAGCAATAGTCTGCCAAGACATGAAAGGACATCATCCCAGTATAAATGGGTTAATAGCTGATAAGAACACAGGCTTAAGAGGACAGAACTGGACGGTTGGTTTGTGGAAGAATTAAAACAGCAGATGAAAGGAAAGCTGTGCTACTAGACTCAGAGGAACACAGAAGCTTTGTTGTGACTTCCTTCCTATACTGATCACAGGGATTTCTCCTTACTAGCTAAAGAAAGAATATTTGAGGCAAGTGTGGATAGTATCCTTCATGGGAGTCAAACACGGGATAGGAATGATGTTTTACAGCTTGTAAGGAATGACAAGAGGATGGATTTGTGATGCTGGAGGACGGGAAGAACTACTTGAGAAAAGAGGGAAGGACGTACAACAAACAATACATAAAGGACAAGAAGAGCTCTTGTGAACTGAAAGAACAATTTGCAATTGTTTACCCAAAATTAATTATGATGTGCAGAGAATTGCAATGATACAGACATATATAAATGGGCAAATGAAAACAACTGGATTAAGAAATGCATAAACATTAGTAGAGAAAGGCAACTGATAACCTGGAATGAAATTGCACATTCCAATGATCTAACAGTTACAGAAGTATTCTCACAACTACTGAAAAGCAAAAAACTATAGAGATAGTCAATCAGTCAAAAAAAAATTATCATCCTTATAGGAGTGGAAATAGAGACAGAGAACAATGATAATGATTATTCTCAATTTTTGAGATCTGATTTTCTTTTTTATTAATCAAAGTAAAAAAAGATATTTTTTGCTATTTACATCCTCCATATAATACACAAACACATTAATTCTTCAGCACCCCTGACAATAAATAACCAAAAGGAGACGATTTCCAAATAGAGAAAAAACTTCTAAATACCTACATAACCTTTAAAGTAAACCCGGGCATAAACTTTGCCTAACCCTTTCAGACTCCAAATTACTCTTTTCAACTATTCTTTTTTTATTTGTTAAGCTTTTTCAAAAGCTAAAGTGCAACAATTCATCTCTAAAACATGACGAAAAACAAATATTCCATCACAAGAAATAGAGTCTCAACAATTTCTCAGTGAGTTACTGCCAATCAAACTAACCACAACCCATCCAGGATAGATGAAAATATATAGCCCTCATAAGTAATCACATTTCCCAAAAACTAGAACATAAGGAAACCTTGTATTCCCTCACGAAAAAAGCCCATCTGTCCTATGCTGGATACCACTGGCTACGAGGATAATCAAAGCAGGGTAAATCAAGGACTAAGCCGTGAGAAAAAAAAAAAAAAATTTCCTTATAACATACACATTAAAGCATAAGATAACAGTAATAGAAATCATTACTTCTTTAAATGATAACTTCCTAATCATTTAATAGCACACATGAATCCTCTATAATTAAGCAGTTAAAAAATCAAGGACAGGCTTCCACACTAAACAGAAAGCACCATAGCAAATATTCCAAAAAATATATGAACCTCACTATGCACGATATGTCACTGATCCTACAATGGTTACATCATCAAAATAATCAAATAATGCTAAATGAAATAAAATTACCAGGTAATAATTTAATACTTTTGCAATTTCAAATGTCTGAATCTTCATTTACATTCTCTTTCCGAATGAAATTTCAAAAAGCAGCCAAACACAACTCACCTGAGGAAGTTCGTCGTCTTTGTCTTCGAGATCCTCGTCTGTCGCTTCAGGCATCTTTGCAAACTGTAAAAATAATAATGATGATAACAATAACAATAATTACAATAACAATAATAATACCAATAACAATAATAGTAGTAACAGTAATAATAATAATAATAATAATTATAATAATAATAATAATAATAATAATAATAATAATAATAATTACAAAAACAATAACTATAACAACAATAAAAACAATAATAATAATAATAATAATCACAACAACAACAATGATGATGACACTGCCTGTTTTGCTGAGGATACACTCACGGAGAAAAGCTGATAATTATGACATTCCATTTCTTCAAACTCACAAGAAACAATCCAGCTCCAAATAAACAAAAAGAAAACAACTTATCAATATTTTCTAAGGTATACTAAACACCTTAAACAAGATAAAAATCATTGAAGTTCAGCAGTCTTACCAAAGTCACAACAGCCTGTCACCAAACCATAGATTATGGCCATTATTATCATTACTTACATGACTAATTATGATCATTATTATCATTACTTACACGACTAATTATGGTCATTATTATCATTACTTACACGACTAAATCTAATTTCAATTATATTTCCATCATTCACAATACATTTTCCAAAATTCCACAGCCTACTAGCAATCACCAAAGATCTAATTTTAAGACATATAAGATTATCAATGTCAAGAACATGTTTTTGTTTCTTGTTTCATTACTGTCAGACTTTAACCTAACTTGACTTTTGAAAAATTGACAAATATCATAAGTTTTATAATACCTGGTGCTTGTCATTCCTTCTTGAATAATAATAATAATAATAATAATAATAATAATAATAATAATAATGATAATGATAATAATAATAATAATAAAAATGATGATAATAATAATAATAATAATAATAATAATAATAATAATGATAATAATAATAATTATAATAATAATAACAATAATGATAATAATGATAAACACACTCACAGTTAAAAACGATTTGACTGACATACCAATAAAAAAATAACCACACATTCAACTAACAATCCAACCCATCATACAGTTAAGCATCCAAATGACTAACTATTCGCTTGAATGGCCAATCCCACCACCCAAGTGACAGCAACCATCCAGCCAACTGACCAACCAACCAACCACAAAATGAAAGAACCATCCAAAGGACCTATCAACCAAACAACCATAGGATAAATTAATTAGTCACTTGACTGACAAACCAAACAACCATACAATGAACCAACCATCCAATAGCCTCACCAACCAAACACCTAGTAACCATAAAACCAATCAACCAAACAACCACTGACTGAAACAACCATCCACCTGACTGTTTAACCAAATAACCACATCATGAAACAACCCTCTGCTTGACGACCAACCAAAGTACCACACAATGAACCACAAAACGAAATGACCATCCACCTAACTGATCAACCAAACGACTGCCTGCTGACTAAACCACTGACCCTCTGATTTCCAGAATGCTAATATGCTCGAATTACAAGTACAAATTACATAAATATACACAAGGGTAGACAGACAGACGCAGATAGCTACCCACCTAGACAGACAGACAGACTAATAATCCAGACACTGATAGTAACCTACCTAGACAGACAGATAGATTGAAAGACACTGATAGCTATCTACCTAGACAGACAGACTAACATATAGTAACAGAATACACAGACACCTACTTACCTAGACAGATAGACTGACAGACATATAGTAACAGAAACTGATAGATACACTGATACCAAAAGACATAAAAAGAAAAAAAATAGACATTTCCACACACAGACAGACAGACAAGCCTGAAAACTGACAGGCAATCCCATTCACAAGAACAAATAACAATAAGCATATTTATAATCTGCAACTCATCCCGTGGATTTTGATCATGCAAATAGCTATGCAAACGACAAACTCTGATGCAACTTTCCCTCTAACTCCAAAATCAATCCAAAGTTTGTCTCGGAAAGCAGCCCGTTGAGACGTATTCTGCGTCTTTTACCTCTGATTATTTTCCCGTCAAAAATTATTCTGCTGAAATTTCTACTGCTAGAAAAATATGAATCAATCAATCTATTATCACTTTAATTTCTCTAGCACAATAACTAATCCTAATCGTTATCATTATCATTGTCACTACCATTTTCATTATCATTATTTTATTCCTAGTACACAAATTCCTGTAATCAAAATCTTTTATAAAGCAAAGTCCCCAAACTTTTCATGCAAGAAAAGTGGGAATTAATGAAGTAATCATGCTTTCAACAAGACATTAACCACTGACGATTGCTTAAATCATGTACTTTTGACTTGCATTATGAAATTAAAAACGAGACTTTGTTTGAACATTATATAGAATTTTACTTCCTGAAACTCTAGAATATAGTATATAGTTTTGTATCTATTTTTTTTGTCTTTGAAGGAAAATAAGACACATTAATAAATAGGGAAAGATAAAAAGTCCACCTCCCAAAGAACATAATCAAATTTGGATAATAACAACCAGTTTGGGACACAACTTTACATATGCTATACTGTAAGAGGAATCTGATAATAAATTTGCCCCTTTTGAAATGTTCTTTTATGATCTATCATTCCCTGCACCATGATACAACTACACAAAGATCAAGAACACACAAAATGAATCAATATCCATCAACCATAAAAAATTGTAAAACATATCATAATAATCCCTCATGATAAGACAAATCATAACTGGGAGGGAATTTGCAAACACAGATATGAATAAGGCCACGTGCTTGTACAATCTGCAGTTCTTTCTTCAGCTTTTGATCGTGCTAATAGCTGTGCCAATGTATGATGTCAGAGACACACTAAGAGGGGTGAAGAGAGGCCAGATAAATACTGCTAGAAAATCTGAGATGCCAAAGTCCTACCACAAAGAAAAACTAAAAAATACACTCCTAGTACTCTGTCTATTGGTAATTTTTTTTTCCCATGATTTGTCAAATGAAGGAAGAAATATACTTATCTTCTTGGCAAATCAGAAACCTGTACTTCACTAATTCATTTAAGCAAAAGGAAAAGATGTGTGTGACAGGACAAGGTGAGAAGGATTTTAGAAAGGAGTGGCACTCCATTCTGATATTTGAAAACATGAAAATGCTTCATACGTAGGGTGATGTAAAACGATGGTCTAGTTAGGTTAAGTTAATGTTAAGTGCTTGAATACCTCACAGTTGCCACTGCCGACAAGCTTGGTGCAAAAGAGGGAGCCAGTGCATAGCTTCTCCATCATCAAGACTTCTGCAATGCCTCACCATGGCCATCCATGTCAACTGGGTACCTTGTGGCCCTAGGCTTAGCTGTAGAGGATTTCAAAATGGCAGGAGGTCCTGGAGGTACAAAGCGATGAGCCACAAGTGTGCAATCACACCCTGGCTTCATACCACCTCCTGCCCCCGAGCTCCCTAGGGTCAATAGGTGACTTTTGGGAGGTAGTCCTTGCTAGAGACTTCCCATATACAATGTCAGTGAATCAAATAAATGGACACACCAGTCCTTCCCACACAGTATGTGAAGTGGGCTGTGGGTTCCATAGAGAAAGGGGCAACAACTTGCCAGCAATGGGAAGTAGGGGAAACCCAAACCTAACATTAGATCCATTGTATGCCAATTCTGCATAAAGTGTGCAAAACAGTCTCCAGAGGCCCCTGCATGCAGATGCCGGGCCTCGTAATCCAAAGACCATCTTTAGCTGGGGCAACATTGGGAAGGGTGGCAGAGCTAATATCCACCCCAAGGTTTAACCCTAGGCTATAGTTGAGGCAGTTCAGTCAATGAGTGTATAACTGAACTGAGACTGAAACACTCCCTTGGATCAAGTATTTTGGAAGAAAATTGATCAAAATACATTTAATACAACTCATACATAGTATAATCCATAACTTTTTCTACACTTCAAATGTCAAAGCAGTCTTTTTTATCATAATCCAACTTCAGTAACCATGAAGGTTCAGGTTCACCGAGACTAATGGTGTTGCAACACTGTCAACTCAGTTATATAGCCTGCCTTGTGGATTAGCCATTCTAATTCATACCTCCTTTCAAGCCTCATTTCTTTCAGACTGGTTCCACAGCACAAAATAATTCCTACACCCTAGTGTTCTGGTGATATTTTAAACACTTCCCTTATAACACAATACTACCCGCCAACATGATCAGGCAAGCACACTCACACAGTCTTTGGTTCTGTTTGAATACCTGTTGAGTCACTGATATTACACAGCTATCATAACACTGTCACATCTCAACAAGAAATAAAACAGTGGATAAGGACCCACTTGCAGTAACTGAATCTTCACATCAATTATTCTAAATGAATAGCTTTAAATAAACTATAAGTTGATAGATTTCAGTCTCATATTTTACATTAGGAATATCAGATCCACCACAGTCTTAAATCAAAAAATAGTAAATATCAATCATACAACAAAAAAATACAAAATAATCATGAATTTCACCAAATCCGTTCCTAAATAAAAAGTACAATAAGCCGACCCTTGGTGTGCAGAGTGACGCAAAAACGTGAAGAGTAAAGAAAAGGCCAAGAGAACATTACCCTAAGACTGGCCATGTGTTGTAGGCAGCATGTAGTTTTTCACAAATGCTTATACTTTTTTATTACTTACAACCGTTTTGACTGTCTAGAGGACCTACAAATATATACAGTGCCTCTATCATTCAAAAAATAGCTGTAAGAAAAATTAGAATCCATTTCAAGTATCCCATTGCTAATGGCTGTTGTCTTATCAAGTCATGGTGAATATTAAGAGACATAGGGTGACAACTCTTAACATCACGAGATGCGGTATCTATGTCCCAATCCTCAGGATGTCTCGCACACCCAACCATGAGCCAAATAATTTTTTAAGGAATCAAGTCTTACATCATATAACTTACTTGTATGAAATCACTGAAATATGACATAGTAGTATGCAAGTATGAATAATGAACAATATTATGTATGAGAGTCATTTCTGTCAGAGTAAGGCATCTTAACTAATCCTTAAAAAAAAAAAGAGTGTGTGTAACATCTGCACCAGTTTTCCCATCCAATCCAGACTATACAAAGTACAAAGGCCATCAACTGTTTTTAACTTGACTTCTTCCACAATACATGGCAGTATGAGTCCTAAGGCAGTTGACAAATAAACACTGCTATTTTTACAATTCAAACCACCACCAAGTATATCCTGGCACGAGAAAACCCACAGAGATCCCTGGCAATATAATCAATTAAGGGATCAGTCAAAGTTTCTTCTTGCTTCAATACAATGGCCGAGGTTTGTTTGCCTCCTTTTTCGTCTCTGCCCTATGTAAGTGCATGCAAGAATACATGCCAACACAGTCTCCTTTAATGCTCAGAAGACACCTAAATGTTCACCACTCACATAAAAGTAGTTAGGATGATCTCCTCTCCTGTCTGCACATCAGCAATAGCCAACAAACCTCCATCATGAATGTTTAATTAGATGAAGCTTTGTACAACTCTCTAGCAATCTATTGTGAAACAGGAAACCAGGACAAGCTCTCTCTTGCCAAAACATACATTGCAGAATAAAATGTATTCATGTTGTCAAATGTAGAAAAGGTATGAATGAGAATGAATATTTTCAAAATACTAGGGATGTATTTTACCCCTTTCGATTCTCATTTATACCTTTTCTACATACCTTGCAGAAATGTAGAAGTAACTTGATATTCAAAGCAATGATCTTATAATTGTGGACCATCTATCACAGATCACAGGAAGTTTCAAATGGACCTGGATAAAACAGAGCTAACATAATTACACACTAGAAGAAATACTGACTAAACCACTGACCCTCTGATTTCCAGAATGCTAATACGCTCGAATTACCAGTACAAATTACATAAATATACACAAGGGTAGACAGACAGACGCAGATAGTTTATACATGGTGAAGGTTTACTATTCACTTGCCGGAGCCCCAATATATGCGAAGCCCACGGCAATCACTTTATTCCTTACCACTCTAATTGCTAACAGTATCCTCTCTATAATTGTTTTCAGCAGAATAAAATGGACCCTATAACCACATCCGGCTTCAAATAAGTCCCACAACTACCATGGTTTTCACACTATCGGTGGTTAGGCAAAAAGAAACTAACCTCCGCCACATTTATTCAGCAAAATAGATCTTTGACTGGTCCCTTATTTTAAAGCAAATCTCTAAGTTGGTCTACACCTTCTATCTAACCAGACTTCATAAATTAAGACTCTAAATACACACAAGAGACTTACTGTGCTTTCCCTATATAGCCAAAGATATGGAAGCAACAGCAAGTCTTAAAAGTCACTGCATGTATATCTATAGGATAATTCAACCCTGCAATGTCCACTGTAGTCCTTTGTGAATTTTGTTTACACATGAATGACTCCACAAATGCTCGTTCACCAAAGATTCAATTAATAAGCCTTTTACAACCTTATCTAATTTCTCTATTCCTAAGATTTTTAGGAAAACTTTTTTTAAGTGCTATTAATATCGACACTGCTATCATTATTTTTGACATTACAAGTATATCATTAGGTAATAGTGATGAAAAATATAAAATAATTAAAAAACTAAAATCACACTGGATATGGCATTGATGTACTTGCCATTAAGGTATCAATTAGTGAATAAAAATGATAACAAAAACAATATTACTACTACTACTACTACTACAACTACTACTACTAATAATAATTAGTAGTAGTAGTAGTGGTGTCATCATTAAATCAATAGTATTTTTCTATAATAATGATAATAATAATAATAATAATAATAATAATAATAATAATAATAATAACAATAATAACAACAACAACAACAACAACAACAACAACAACAACAACAACAACAACAACAACAATAACAATAACAATGACAATGATAATGATAATGATAATGATAATGATAATGATAATGATAATGATAATGATAATAATAATAACAATAACAATAACAATAACAATAATGATAATAATAATAATAATAATAATAATAATAATAATAATAATAATAATAATAATAATAATAATAATAATAATAATAATAATAATAATAATAATAATAATAATAATAATAATAAAAATTATAATAAAAACAACAACAATAACAAAATAATAATAATATTAGCAACAATAACAATAATAACAAAAAAAAACAATAATAACAATAACAATCACAATAACAATAAAGATAATAATGATAATAATAATAATAATAATAATAATAATAATAATAAAAATAATAATAATAAAAATAACAATAAAACAACAACAATAACAGTAGTTATGAGTACTGACTGTCTCGCCTGTTCACCCTTTTCATTGACTTACAGAAATATTTTACGTAATTATAATGTTTACAATAAAAATAACACCACTGATATGTATAGCACTAGTAAAAAATATGTTTTTCCCGCGAATTCAAGGAAAGGTGAAATCAGGTAAGGCCACAAGATCTACTAATTGGCTCCTTTGTGGCTAAGAAGAGACATTTCACTAAAATATAAAACACAAGCACAGCATTTTCCTCATTTTTTATTCATTATCCCCTGCGGCAATGAGTTAAGAAAGCTTGGCTTATAACCCTCCATAATGTAAGAAAATACATCTAAAATGTAGCTCTCCTTGCAATATCTGCAATGAAGGGAATGCAAAAAAATAATAGTAATAGTTTGAATCCCCAAAATATCATAATATCAAAAAACTTTTAATAAAAACTGAAAATCAAGATTAACCTAAAACTGCAAGAGAGGAGGGAAGGCAGCAATACAGCAGGCGAAAGGAATAGGACAGAAACATCGCACAGAATGACTCGAAATGCATGCATGAAAACCTAACAGGAAAAATATTATGAACCCTAAATTGCTTTATTGTAAAATCCCAACTGTATCTAATACATTTAGTAAAGGTAATACCGAAAGCAACCCGACCACCACAAAAAAAAGTAGCGTTTGTTTTCGCTATCGTTACAAGTAGCAAAAACAAACTGCCGGTCAAATAAGATCACGAACCCCAACCAACCTACAGGCAACAGACCGAAACCTCCACCACATTAAACCATAATAATA